GTGCTCCTGATGCTGGTGCTACTGATGCTCCTGATTCTGGTGCTACTGAGGCTCCTGATTCTGGTGCTCCTGCTTCTGCTACTCCTGCTGCTGTTGCTACTGATGCTCCTGCGGCTGTTGCTACTGATGCTCCTCATTCTGTTGCTACTGACGCTCCTGATTCTGGTGCTCCTGCTACTCCTGCTGCTGGTGCTCCTGGTGCATTCCAGCATCTGCTGCTAGAAGCCGCCAATGGCTAACACCGGCTCTCCGGCATGCCCAGACCACACTACGAAGCCGCGAACGAAGGAAGAAAGGGACGAGAAAAACAACAGTTTGAAGCCAGAAAAGCGCTTACAGCTGAGCCCACGATGCCTCCAACAAGGCGAAGACTTTGCTGTCATGGAGGAGACCATCGGAAGTAAGGCGGCTACGTCTGCGGCTCCATACGTTGAGGATGGAGGCAGCAGCACGCAGTGTCGGCTGCTGGAGCACACGGGAAGGCCCCATATAGCCTAACAAATTGGCTAACAGATATGCCACCTCTGGTCCATACTCCTGAAGGCAGCACACACGGCAGCAGCAGCGAGAAATCCAGCTGCGTCGCCTCCTCGCCGAGCAGAGGCTGCCTCCGCTCCACCCCATGCACTGCTGGCAAAAGCGTGGCAGAGGAGGGCTGACATTCGCGGAGTGCTGTCACGCACATGCACCCAGCAGCAACAGAGTGGCGTAAAGCATCCAAAAAGCATCAACAAACACCGGAACCGTCTGACGCACAGACACAAGTCAGAAGGCGTGGCGAGGGCACCAACAGCTGCCTACAGACACACACACAGAGAGCGACCTACCAAAAAGTGCTGCTGATCATCATCATTTGAACTCTCTCCGAGCTGTAGAATGAAGTCGCGGAGGAAAAAAACGGCATGAAGAGATGCCACCTTCCCCATAGACTGCAGCAGTTCCCTTGCAACATCCCCTGGTAGGTCTGAGAGGTGTACATACACTCCGCCTCCCTCTGCTTGCTGCTGCTGCTGCTGCTGCTCTGCTTGCTGCTGCTGCTCTGCTTGCTGGTGCTGCTGCTCTGCTTGCTGCTGGCTTGCAGGGACGGTGGTGCCACACCTTTCTTTCTGCTGAACCTGCTTCGACTGCTGCTGCTGCTGTTGCTTCTTTTGCACGCGCCTGCTCTTCGCGAGAACCCGCTGTGCGTGCTTCGCACACCACTTAGACCATGCGACATCTCCCGAAAAGAAGCGCCGAAGCTCTCGAAGATCCTTGAAAACAGCTACAAGGCCTCCCTCCGTCGCCAACTGCTCGAAATCAACGCGCTTGCTGCGCCAGGCAGGGTGATTTGCTATCGCATCTGCTGGCACAGCTTCTCCGTGGCATACAGGGCACATCCAGGAGTTCGTCGTCTCGCCGCCTTCTGCAGAAGCAGCAGCAGCAGCTGCTGCAGAAGACGCGTCCGTCAAGGCTGCCCCTGCCGAACCTGTGCAGGACTGAGACTGCTTCACAGCTTCCGTGTGAGCGTGTCGTCTTACCACAGGAGGCGGCACAGGAGGCAGCTGCTGCACTTCTGCTGTGATAGCCGCAGAAAGACCACTGCCCTGCCCGTAGAACGTGGCTGCAGCAGCAACACGCCGATTTTCGGGGATGTACCGCCGAATCGGCTTGCAGCTGTACAGACACCCCGCATGCATCACAAGGGGGCAGAAGTCGCAGCAGAGAAGCTCCCCATGGCCTCCACAAATGCAGCAAAAACAAAAGTTGCTGATCGCCTGAACATACAGTCCACCACAAAAAAGACGACTCCAAAAGCTAGCCACAAAAAACGCCCCTATCCATGCTGTCGAACCAGACGCATGCGGAGCAAGAAAGAAAAACGACACACATACACGCACACACAAAGAAACCATAACAAAACACTCCCATCCACCAACTAACGGCCGCGCGAGCTGCTCTATTTGTTGCCGTTACTGCTGCTGGTGCTGCTACTGCGCTGGCTAGCTTCCACAGACAGCGATCCAGGGTGCTTCTTGCTGCTGCTACGAACGGCAGCTAGGAGAGACAGCTGCCTGCGCCGCTACAAGAACGGGCTCGGTAGGAGGAGACACACGTGAAAAACAAACTTTTCCCCGCTAAAACAACTTACGCTAGCCTTCATAGGGCGTCTCCTAATCTTTGCGGCAGGACGGCTTGGCACAAAGAGCTCTGCTGACTCGTGTTGCTGTTGCTGTTTCTGTTGGTGTTTCTGCTGCCGCTGTTGCTGCTGCTCATCGCCATGCTTCTGCTTCCTTTGCTCGTCTTGCCTATTTCCAGCTGTAGCCGCAGCGGAGGCGACACTCTCTGCCTCCTTCAGCTCTGCAGACGTGGAGAGAACCTCCTGATCCCCCTCAAAGCTGCTGAAGAGAGGCGGCAGATTGCTCGCATCTTCCGCCTTTATGCGACTGCCTTCTGTGCTGCTGCGCTCGCTTCCGCCGTTCGTTGTGGCGAGCAAGCAGCTGCTGCTGGTGCTGCTGAGGCTGCTGTTGCTCCTTTTGCAACAAACAGTGCTGTCAGCTCCAGCCTTGACGGCAGCAGCTACTGGCCTCAAATCCTCACTGCAGGCTGTAAAAGCCACAACTGCTGCCTCATCCCTCAGACAATCAGGAGACTCCTTCGACGCGTCGAGCTGCTCTTTCTTAGCTCCTCTAGGATTTTTCTGAGGCGTCTTTTCCTGATGCCTTTCGCAGTCTTCTAGCTCCGCCTGCTGGGCAGTCTGCTGCTGCTTCTGCTGCTTCAACTGCTGTTGTTCAGGCTGCTGCTGCTTCTGCTGCTTCGACTGCTGTTGTTCAGGCTGCTGCTGCTTCTGCTGCTTCAACTGCTGTTGTTGTTCAGGCTGCTGCTGCTTCAACTGCTTCAACTGCTGCTGTTGTTCAGGCTGCTGCTGCTTCAACTGCTTCAACTGCTGTTGTTCAGGCTGCTGCTGCTTCTGCTGCTTCAACTGCTGCTGCTGCTTCAGCTGCTGTTGTTCAGGCTGCTGCTGCTTCAACTGCTTCAACTGCTGCTGCTGCTTCAGCTGCTGTTGTTCAGGCTGCTGCTGCTTCAACTGCTTCAACTGCTGTTGCTGCTTCATCTGCTGCTGCTTCAACTGCTGCTGCTTCGACTGCTGCTGCTTCAACTGCTGCTGCTTCAACTGCTGCTTCTTCTGTGCTGCTGCCGTCCGCGTCGACCCTCTTGCTGATGGCTCTTGTAGGTTTTTCTGTAGCGTAAGATCACTGCAGATGTTATTGTTATTGGCAGTTGCAGTCCGCCGTCTGCTGCGGTGATTATCTGCAAAGGCTAACAGCAGCTCTGAAGAGGTTGCAAGGCTTCGAAGCTCTCGAGGGCAGCTCGCCAGCAGCAAGTCTTTCTCATCATCCTCCTGAACGGCATCCCTAGCAGCAGCAGTTGCTGCAGTAGTCACGACGGGCTCTGACGCTGCTGCGGATGTTTGCGGTGCTGCTGCTGCCGCCGTCGACTTAGCGCTTGCAGGGGTGCCTGCTGTTGCCGAACTCTTGAAAGGCTGGAAAGATGGTCCTTGTCTTTTCTTCTCGTTGCAGCTGCTCTTGGGGTGGCCCTTAGTGTTGCCAGCAGCAGCAGTCGTAGATGCAGCAGGAGGAGCAGCAGCAGTAGCAGCAGCAGCAGCAGCAGTCGTAGATGCAGCAGGAGGAGCAGTGGCAGTAGTAGAAGCAGCAGCAGCAGTCGTAAATGCAGCAGTAGTAGCAGAAGCAGCAGCAGAAGTAGACACGGCGTTGGAGCTGGGTACGTGAATTCGCTGCCGTTTGCTGCGATCTCCACTGAAGGCTAAGCATAATTCGTCGAAGGAGTTGCCATAGCCGCTGAGGAGGCGTAGCAGCTCACGGTTAGCACCCCCTCCGCTTTTTCGCTTCTGCGTCTGCTGGCGAGTTGGTTGCTCTTGCGGAGGCTGCTGCTGGGTGGCTGTGTTTGTTGATCCTTGCTGCGCGGTGTTTGGCGAATCGGCAGTGCTGCCCCCCGGCTCCGAGGAGGATGCAGCCTGAGCAGGCACTTCTGCTGCAGAAGCAGCAGCTGCACAAGCACAAGCAGCAGCAGCCGGAGAAAGCGGAGTAGCCTCAGTCATCTGCGAGGAGCGCATGCAGCCGCGTTCCTGCGAAGGCCATGCGGCAAGATTGCTTGCTCTGTACTTCTTCAACACTCCCCTGCTGCTCTTGCCGCAAAGAGGAAGGGATGGGGATGCCGCAGAAGGCCCCTGAAATGCCTCCAAATATCCTCGGCAGCATCCGCGGCACTAAGAGAAAAAAATCTCGGAGGCAGGAGAAGCGGCAAGGCGCAAGGCGTCCGCCGACGGGAGCAGCGAGCTCCGCAGGTGTCACGGCAGAAGCTGTACTGGGAAAGTCATTGGCAGTGACAGTGCACTGCTTCCTGCTCTGCTGCAGAAAGAAGGCGGCAGCCAGAGCGAGGAACTCGTAATACTCACCAAAACAAGCAGAAACAGCAGCCGAGACACTTAGAAGGCTGCGCAGGAGCATGGGCTGGTCGTGGCTGTGTTCATGAGGGCCTTATCACTACACACCTAGGGTGCTGCGTCACAGGATGCCTTGCAGCTGCGGCCTTTTTCAGGCTTCCGCTGCGCCAATTCGATTAGAAACTCCTTAGCAGCGTCTCGTCGGGGTTGCTTTGCCGCTCAAGTGCCCCATGAAGGCAGAGGATCCTAACGGTGTGCCTGGAGTGTGTGACCCTCCTGCCAGCAACAACAACACCCCTCAGGCTCGTTTGCGGGTTGTTTTGACTGCTATAGCCCGTCAAGTAGCCTTCTTCCTCGAGTTTCCGCAGACTTTAAAGCCCCCTTTGTAGTTTAACTCCGTTTTAAGCCTTGCTGCGCGGTGTTCTATGCTCTCCCGCGGCAGTAAACACGCTTGCAGCCCCTCGAACCTCCCCCCTCTTTTCCACCCACCCACCCCCCGCTCCCCTCCCCCCTCGTCAGCCGACTCCCCCCTTTCAAATCGGCTCTGAAATTTCTGGATATGGGCAACTCGCACTCGGAAACGGCATCGCCGCTGAGCAGCAGCGACAGCCAAGTGGGCGAGCTGGATGCGCACGACTATGACGCTTCAGCTGACCCCGACGCAACAGCAGCAGCATCCCTTCCCAATGCGCCTCTCCATCAGCAACCGCATCAATTTCCCGAAAACGAATTCTTCGATGTATGCTCCGACTTTGAAGACACCCCAGCATCTCCTCATGGACCCCCCCCCCGTTCTCAGAGATCTCATGAACGCCACACTTTTCGGCAAAGGTCGCAGCAGCTCGCGACAAGCGTCAGCAGCGACAACAGCAACACCCCAGGCTCTCCGTGGCATTCAACGAGCAGCTTAGCCTCCCTGCCTCAGGAGACTGCACTCCGGCTCGCCGAGACAGCAGCAACAGCAGCGGTGGCTGCAGTTGCTGCTGCAACGCAAGCCCACGGCTTGTTTGGTGCACGCCCAGAGGCTCCCCCTTGCTGCCACTACAAACGCTACCGCTGTCTAGGCAGTGGCATTGGCAGCAGCATTAGCAGCAGCCATGTGTGCCCCCTCGGGATGCGCCGCAAGAAGCGGCGATTGCTGCAACAGCTGCAGAAGCAGCAACGTCAACAAGAGGAAACTCAGACTTCCGCAAGAGATGCCTGTGCCTCTAAACTGCTAAAGGAAGGCACCTGCAGCGATCTTGACTCCTGTAGCACGTCTCACAGAGCTCCTTTCGGCATCAGCAGACGCAGTTCTACCAGTAAGCCCTCCCTAGACCGCACCACCCCTCTGGAAATTGAAGAGGAAGAGCAGCAGCAGCACCAACGCCAGCAGTCGCACAGTCAAGACTGCATTAGCAGCTCGACAGAGCAATCAGCTGCAAGCCGAGCAGCATCAATACTGCCGACAGACCCCCCTCACCTCCGCACTTTAACCTCCTATCCACCACGACGGGGAGCTGCGGAGTGTCGTGCTGCCTTGTCTTTTATGCCACCATCGACAACAGAAGTCTCAACAGCAGGAGGCGCTATATCCACGACACGACGCTCTAGCAGTCGTCCTATCCTTTCATTCCCTAACGCCGCCTTTGTAGCCCACTCAGCGACACAGCCTCTGCAAGAAGGGGTGCCACGCCACGCCTCTCGCCAGCGCTCACTCCTGGAGGCGCTTCCTCTCCTTCCCCTCCAGCAGCGAGCCGCTGTGCTAAGCGAGGCGGCTTACATCGCCATCCCTGGTGTTCAGAGCATTCTACGAGAGGACAAGGTTGAAGCCTTCTGTCTCTGCAATGTAAGCGAAATCAAGCTCCACCATGCCCTCCTTACAACCTGGCGAACAAACTGTGCAGTCTGCAGTGTGTGAAGGCGCTTCGCTGCCAAACAACGCTGACCTCTTGTGTTTACATGAATGTGTGCGAATACAGCATTGCCTTCGGCTCCTTAGAAAGTGCCGCTTAATCTCGTGCCTCCGCGTCGGTGCATGCATTGATGGATGGATGCATAGATGTGTACTGTGCAGATAGATGTATCTAATGTACGGATAGATGTATCTAATGTATGGATAGATGTATCTAAAGTATGGATAGATGTATACTGTGCAGATAAAAGTATCTTATGTACGGATAGATGTATCTAATGTACGGATAGATGTACACTGTGTAGATAGATGTATCTAATGTATGGATAGATGTATCTTATGTACGGATAGATGTATCTAAAGTATGGATAGATGTATACTATGTTGATAGATGTATCTAAAGTATGGATGGTCTCGTATGGGTGTCTTCTCGTCTGCTTTCCGTTAAGAAGGGCATCTCCTATCGCGAGATGTCGCTTGCCATGCATATGCATATGTATGAATATATATTTATATATATGTATATGTCTCTTGCACACGCGTTCTTGCATTGCGCTGTCCGCTCTCTGCGCTTTTGGCTTTAATCATTTTATTCTAAGGCCCCTCATCGGGAGAGGCAGTGGCAAGTGACTCTGACTCAGCGGTGGGTGTAGCAGGTGCAGTAGATGCAAGAAGATTTAAGCGGAGGTTTCTGCCCTTCTTCGTTTTGCGTGTGATGCTGATGCAGATCCTTACAGACACCGAGAAGAGCAGCCTTACTGCACCCGCTGCATCTAGACACGTAGGAAGTCGTTTCTTGGCTGCAGTTTCGAGGAGGCGTGTAGCTGATCTTTGTTTTTAGCAGGGGAAGTGCGCTCTCCATCGCTGTGTGTGTGTGTGTTTGCGTGTATGTATGTATGTGCTCTTCCCGCGAACAGTGCTGCCGCAACTCGGATATGTTTTTGGTGGCTTCCTTTTGTTGCAGTGTAAATGCAGCTGCTGCGCCCTGTGGCTGCATGCGCCTTGTTCTACTGCGCTGGCATCCTTTTGGGGGGAAAGGCTCTTGTGCGTCATCTGCCGCTTCCTTCTCGCGGTACGCTGCTGCCGCGACGACGCGCAACAAAGAGAGGCTACTACTGCTGTGCATGTGTATCTGCATGCTTCGACGCTCCTCTCTTTCTCTCGCTCGCGCTTCTGCGATAGCAGCAGCAGCTGCTGCTGTCGACCCCTCGCTGCGCGGAGCACTCTTCAGCAAGGTCTGAGGCTTCTCCCTGTGCTTTTTGCCTCAGGATCCCTCCACGGAAGTCGTTTGGATTTCAACGGTTGTGCCACTGAGTCTTGCTGCTGCTTCGCCCTCGGCGACTTCCTTGGGCACTCAAGAAACAGCTGCTGAGACGATCTTCGGCCGTGAAGAAGCGCTCCTTCCAGCTTCTTCGCTGCTTGCTGTGGCATCTGGCCATGGCAGTCGCAACTCTGGATTGCGAGAGGACGTTCGCGTGTTTTCCGCTGCTCCCCCTGTTGCCGCCGTCGAAGGCACCGCTCCAGCAGGAGCAGCAGCAGCACCCCGCAAAATCCTGAGGCTGTGGATTCATTCGAGCGCTGCGCGGAGTGAATGCAGGCTTAGAGGATCGCCTTTGAAGCCTTCGCAGCCGAGCGAAGCGTCGAGAGAAGCCTCAGATCGCGCTGCAGCACCGTCCGCAGCACCCGCTGAAGCGCTGGCATCAAAGGATAACCTTCGTCGCATGCATGACAAGCTGCTCGTGACGCTGCATATCGACGACCAAACGCCTATGTTCAGGGTGCCACTTTCCGCCTTCCCAACGGGCAGTCCTTACACCATCTCCGTGAGTGAAGAGCTGAGCGACTGCACGCGGAGCAAGCAGCAAGCAAGCACGAGCATCCTGAGGAAAGGCCGTTCAAGGGTTCAGAAGCCTTGAAGCTGCTGCATAGTCTGCGTTTGTATATGCTTATGTGTTAAGTATATGTATGTATGTATTTGTGTGTGTTTCTGTATTTATATGTAAGTGACTGTATCTATGTGAGTGACTGTATTTGTGTGTGTGACTGTATTTATATGTGTGACTGTATTTATATGTGTGACTGTATTTATATGTGTGACTGTATTTATGTGTGTGACTGTATTTATATGTGTGACTGTATTTATGTGTGTGACTGTATTTATGTGTGTGAGTGTATTTATGTGTGTGACTGTATTTATATGTGTGAGTGTATTTATGTGTGTGACTGTACTTATGTGTGACTGTGTGTCTGCACCCACCAACAGGCGGTAGTGGAGGAGCCTCTCCAGAAGACTGTGCTGCTCGCAGTGGCTGCAACGCGTCAACTCAGCGAATCGCAGATCCTCAAGGCGATTCAGATGCTTCGCACGCTGCATCCCTCCCGAGGCAGAGCTTACGTGTGTTCAGTGATGCTGCTGCTGCTCCGAGTTTCTCCTCATATCCCTTGCCTTGCGGATGCAAAATGGCTCGAAGAGGGGTTGGTGCGGGCGCTACATGCACTGCCCTGCTTTCTATGCTGCACTGTGCCTGCCTCAGTTGCAATGCGTTTTCGAGCGCGAAGAAAAGCAACAACTTCGGCTGCAGCAGCGCAGCAATAAAGGGCAAATCGGAACCCGCCTCACACAACTTCCAGCCAGCACTAGCAGCAGCAAGGTGCCGCTCAGCTCTGCAGCTCACCTTGGAATTGAGGATGCGACGTCCCCCTTCAAACGCTTCTCCATAGCGTCGGCAGGTAGGATAGGTGGCTGCTGTTGCGGCACCTGTTGCTGGAGCGGCAGCAGATGCTGCCTGCTGCTGTTTAACCTGTTCTTGGCACAGCATCTTTTTCTGGGGGACGTGGTGTGGGGAGCGGAAGGTTTTTCTTTGATTCATGGCTGGGTCTGCGCTGTAGGTACACCTCGTGTAGAACGAACAGTGGCAGCAGAAGCAGCAGCAGCGGCGACGGTGGCGCAGTCCGCAAGCGCAGAGGAATTCTCGCTCCGTCTGCGCTGCCTTTCGCTAGCAGAAGAGGGAACGTCTCGGCAGATGCTTCTGCCGGCCCGTTCTGTGTGGTGCATGCATGCGAGTTGCTTCGATTTGGAATCCTTTTTAAGCACCGCCTTCCGCGGGAGACAGGTTTGCGGGGAGAAATCTTCCTCCGGAGTGGTAGGACGCCACGAATCCCCCGAAACATCTTCAGTTTTCTCAGCGGAGATCTCTGAGAGCTGGCGATGTCCTCTCTGCGCTGCGCCGGCTCTGCCGCACGAGCTGTACGTGTGCGGCTTCGTGCTGCAGTTGCTAGAGCAGCATCCCAAAGACACGGCAAGTGTCGTCTTTGCGGATGCTGAGCTGCTGCTTCCTGTGCCTCACAGGACGCTGAAAAAAAGGCGGGGAGCTAGCCTGCTGTAACGAAGCAGGGAACTTTTTTTGAGCTGTACGGACCAAGGGGAGAGGCGTCCTTAGGGCGCAGCACCACCCGTCAAACACACCTCGCTGGCTACTGGGCTCATGCAAGAGGGGCAGCAGCAGCGCATGCACGGCACCAACACACGCATTGCCTCCAGAAAAAAAAGGATCTTTTGTAGTGTCTCTGCAAACGTTAGGCCCTCAAACCCGCGGCGTGCTCCCGTTCGGACGCCTCCTTGCCAGCCATCCGTGACAGGCGACAAGAGCCGTCCGAGCAGCAGAGTTTGGCTTCTGCCTGCAGGAGGAGGAGCTGCTGCTTGACCAATATGGAAGGCGTAAAGTGCTGCAGCAGCAAGGGAGGAAATTCCTGCTGCTGCGCGTGCCGCTGCCTCCTTTCTCTGAGAGTGCAGGTCGAGTAGAAAGCGTGGTGTAGAGAGCGCTCCGGCTTAGGTCCTCTATCTATCTGTTGATCCTGTCTCTCCACGAACCCCCCACGTTTCCCCCGCCTTCATCGTGATCTCTTGGCTTCCCGCTTCTACCCGCCAGGGCATCCCTAGCGAAGGCTTTGCGGGAGAGACGGGAGGAAAGGGGGAAGACCCCCCAACGAGGCTAACCACACCGACTCGTGCTGCCTTTAAGCCTTTGATACAATGTTTTGGCGACACGGGCAAACCCTAGCTCTGAGGCACGCCGATTGAAGCAACGCAACGCCGCGCAAGTGCTTCCTAGCGAGGAGCGTTAGGGGCTGCAGTCTCTCTTTTACGCACTCTGACACAGTTCTCTCTACATGTCGAGGCGCTGCGGCAGCGTCTCGTCCTTTCAAAAACTTCAGAAAAAGGCTTAGCCCGTCTCCTTCTACACGCACTAGGACGCCCACCGCAGAGGGCTCCCTGCCCCTCTACACTCGTCCCCTCCAACCAGCCCCCTTCCGCCGACTCCTCCTGACGAATTGCGCCAAACCGGCATGTCTGAAGATCCTCTGGGAAAGTCTCTTGGAATGGCCCTCGTAGTTGGGAATCCTTTGTTGCGCAAGGCGCCTTTTCTGCAGTTCTTCTGCGCCAGATAAGCACTCGCCGACAGCTTTTCTCGCTTGATGGGTGAGAATTCTCGAAATGTCTTTGTAGAGGCAGACCTTGGATTAGATCGTCGAGGGGCTTACGCAGTACAGCGCATCGCCGCCTTGAAAAAAGATGCAATGAAGACCAGCGAAGCCTTCTTTGCAGGTGAGATTTTCAGAGGCAGGTAACGGGGTTCGGCATTCCTGACTTTTGCAGTCTGCAAGTGTACCGCATACCCCAACTTCCACTCATCATGAAGCGCGCAGGCGGGGGGAGGTTCCGCAATCGAGGGCTGGAAGATATCAACTCATCCCCAACGTGGGCGCATGACTGTGAAGGTGGCCGACTAGAGTGGTCTCTGTGCTCGTTGCAGTAAGACCAAACACAATAAAAGAACGTAGAGCATAGGGGCCTGAGGTTCGGACATGGTGAAAAAGCGTGGTCGATGAATTCGTCTGCCTGTCTTGGTGTTTCCCATTGGAACCAACATCTTTTAACCGGAACGGAGGGTTCATAGATAGCGGCATTTAGCATGTACGTTCTTTGTAGCGGGCCAAGCTACACGTGTACACTTCGTACTCCACTAGTTATATTGTGTCTGAGAATTCGTAAGGAATTGAATGGTTGGTCTGGCTCTAAAGAATTTTAACAGAGCACTGTTGCTTAGACACAAGGTAAGACCCGATATTGTCTGCGCGTGGGCTAAAGGATATGTGCATCCAGCTGTGCGTCCTCATGGTGCACAGTAGAGCGTGCAGCACTGCGCAACCTTGCAATCCTCCCTTCTGGTCAGGAACTAAGGGTCGCGGACAGGAAAGGCGGGAGTTGTTTTTGAATAGCACTAGCTAGCTTCCTACCAGATTTCCATTGAATCTGGAATTTAATTTCTCCTTACGGATACCTGACATGAAGCGCTACACCTAGCTGCCTGCTCGCTGTAGGATGCGTGAAGAGGCGACCCCACTCCCGGTGTACCGGTGCGCTGTGCAGGTGTCCATGACGCCTTAAAGGGCCATGCGTACTTGCCACATTGAGCATAAAGATAACATGGGTGTAAATATTGCGTCAACCATTTAAATTGCGTGCTGCACTGCTCTGGAGGTTTCCATGATACGCTATGCAGGTTGTGGAGTACGATGAAAATGCATCGCTTGCCCACATTTTGATAGACTCGTTAATTTTTGTCTATACGTTTCATACTGGACACACCAAGCTGAACCGTTTGCCACGCTATACGGTGCTTTCTTGCCTGTGGAAGCCCAGGACTACCAAGGAGATGCGCATTCCGATGAGACCGTCATAAAGAATTTGGAATCACGGCTTAGAAGACCAAGGCAAAAGGGTGCTGGTATGTAATAGTTTTCGCCAGAGTTTGTGTTAGTTCCTAGAGGCACAAAGCGACCGAATGGCAGCCGGTGCATGCGCAGCCGCCGCTAGGCTCCTGTTGTGGGGTGGAACTTATCTGCGAAGAAATCTGCAGAGACTGACCACAAGGCGGTAGAGTTGGGTCGCGTGTCTTCTTTAAATGTTTTGTGCATTTCTCATTCCTTTGCCAAAACTAAGAGAAGATGGCGGCGAACACAAACGTAAGCAAACCCCCGGATGCGCATGATGCCCGGATGCGGTCTTTGCCATTGCCATCTGCTCGTTGCACTTCTTGAGCATCGATAGCTCCTCTCTTTTGTTTCTCTCTGCTTTAATTTTCTTAAAAGAGGCCACAAAGGATTGGATTGTCAGCAGCGATCGTCCTGCGCTGCTCCTTTGGGAGGCGCTCAGGCCCTACCGGGGGTTGACGAAACTTTAGGCATTCAAAACTCCAGAGGATATGCATTTTCTGTCATTTTAGGTGTACCTGCTTTCTTCCATGGGTGATGCCGCTATTATTTAGTTAGAGTGCCACGATGGACCTTTGGTGCCGGCTGGAGGAACGCACAGATGCAGCCTCTGTGCCTCGCTTGCAGTTCCGCCGGTTTTTGCCTTTTCCAGACGTTCGAAAACGCCTCAAAGTCGTGTTTGCTTGCATCGTGCCTCTTGTGTCACTTTCTTGGTGGAGCATTGCAATTTGGGCGTAACGTTCATTTTGGTTGCGATGATTGCTTTGTGCGTTTCACGTGCACCCGTGTACTTGCTAATCCCCGGTGACTGTGTGTGTGTTTTTCTGCACTTTAGATTTCCAAGAAGAGGAAGTTCGTCAATGACGGTGTCTTCCAGGCGGAGCTGAACGAGTTCCTCTCTCGCACTTTGGCAGAGGATGGGTATTCTGGTGTTGAGGTCCGTGTGACGCCTATTCGCACGGAGATCATTATCCGTGCAACAAGGACGCGCGAGGTGTTGGGCGAGAAGGGACGCCGCATCAGAGAACTTACATCTCTCGTGCAGAAGCGCTTCGGCTTTCCTCCCGACTCCGTCGAACTCTTCGCGGAGCGCGTCGAGAACAGAGGACTCTGCGCCATGGCTCAGGCAGAGAGCCTGAGATACAAACTTCTGAAGGGCCTTGCCGTGCGCAGAGCTTGCTATGGTGTCTTGAGACACATCATGGAGTCTGGAGCCAAGGGTAAGTCTAATACTCGGTTCGAATCCGCAGTTCATAGTTTTTTGACATGTGGACGTGCAGCTTAATCCACAAGAGGCCCTCAAGCGGCCTTCTCAACTGCTTCAGGGGCTTTTCTTCGCGCACTTGTGCAAACTACGTCCCTCTGTATGTACATCTGTGTGCTGCGTTTTGGTGCGTGTACTTGACCTAAAGGTTGCGAGGTCGTCGTGTCTGGAAAGCTGAGAGCTCAGCGTGCAAAGAGCATGAAGTTTAGAGATGGATACATCATCTCAACTGGCGAGCCCAGACAGCGTTTCGTGAACCAGGCTATCAGATCTGTGCAGCTCCGCCAGGTGCGTTTCGATCGAACGTTACGCCAGCTTTTGAGCACTGGACAGAGTCCATTCAGCTTGCAGGTGTCACCGCATCTTGAAACCTAGCTAGGCTACGCAAGCATAGTGTAGTTAGTCGTTCAGCGAGTTTGCGGTATTTTTCGGGGGCTAAGCATTCCCTCTTATGCCGTGCTTGTTTTTTTGTGCCGGTGTGCGTGCAGGGAGTGCTGGGTGTGAGGGTAAGCATCATGTTGCCGTTCGACCCCGAGGGCAAGCAAGGACCATCAACTCCTCTACCCGACACCATCATCGTCACGGAACCTAAGCCCGACATCTATGTCGTGATGGGACCGCCAGACCCTACACAGGCGTTCTGCCCCCCTGCTCTCTAAAGTGTTCTTGCCGTGTTTTAAAAAAGGCGTAAAGATGCTCAGTGCATCTGCCGGCGGGTAGACAATAGATGCACGTGTGTCTGTACTCGGGCGCAGTGCCATCTTTTTGCCTACTGACAGACACTTTGCGGTGGGAGCCGTTCGACCAATAAACGCTCGTTCAACGCTTCAAATGTCACCAGCAAAAGGGGTTGCGTCTTTCGCTCAGACGCACATGTCCACGCACGGATATTCTGCGTAGGCAGGAATTACCCATCGTCTCCAGCATTCTACATTGCTAGTAGGGCATTAGTTCATGTATTTTTGCACCACGCCCCTCCCGCAATTACCGCATTATCAGTAGATCTGCCCAGCCAAAGAAGAGCTGCTGGGTGGGCCGTAGATTCGCCTGTTATCAACTTGGCTAGGCGTAGGGTATCCCTACACACGAGCTGCTTATTTGGTCGAACAGCAAGATAAGGGGGTGTAATACACCTACTTGAGAATAGTGTGAAGGATCGAGATATTCCTTTATTTCATACGTCTATCATCGAGCAACAATTGAACGGCAGGTTTGCATTCTTTTCTTACGGGACTCGCAGGTCTCGGAGGGAGCGCTGGTTTGCAGGCTTGTGATGAGAGTAGCCGATTCGTTGTTTCAGCAGCAAACAACATACCTGCCGTGTCCACCTTAACGGAAAAAACAGCGCCGTCCAACTGGCGAGACGTATACATAGAGCACCTGGGAGCAAAATCTCGATTACACTCACTGGAATCATTGCGGGAACGCCAGAGCAGAGCCACAGATGTTGTTGAAAGCCAGGAAGGGATGCGAGGCCCGTCGATAGGCCTACAGAAAAGATTAGTGAAGGAATGCTCAACCGATTAATGGTCTACTCACTAAACGAGGCATACGAGCACCCTTCGGTTTCGTTGCACATTTCTGCGCCTTCTGTAGCACAACGCGAAGTACTACGAATGGAAAACGGATGGGGTGAGCTCGTTTCTTGCCTTGGATGCGCAGAACGCCCGACACCTTCTTAAGGATGTTGTCCTGCATGCAGATCCCCAAATAGTTCAAATATACTGCGTATCCGTGAACTCTGTAAAACAATGTTTCTCCACTGCGCGTATGCAATCGTAGAAAAGCCGGTACACCTACTCGAATTCTGATGGCTTCACTGCCACGAGAGTGCCTTCTTTCTCAGTCGCTCCTTCCCATTCCTGGTCTATGTCATGCATCAGAGGCCAGCGCACGGGCTAAACTGAGAAAGCAGAGATATACCTGTACAGAACACAGCTGGCGTCTCGGATGACGACTCCCAGACGACAAATGTGCATTGTGGCTCTTCATCGCACTCAGCCAGGGCGTCTGGCTGCAGACTCGATGAGTGCGCATGACCTAGGCTTGTAGCCCATGCATACCTACCAGCGTATATTTTGTCGTTTGGAACAGCCCTTCAGTCGACTTCTGCTTCAGGGATCTGCCAGGGGCACATCTGGCGGATTGGTTCGGTAGGACCAGATAATGGGGCGTGACACCTGTCACGAATCCCCGCTCATGATTATAAAGCGGCGCTGGATCCCTGGGAGAAAGCATGCACGACAGCCAAGAATTGGGTGACCCTCACACTTACTTGACTGGGATACACGTATAATCTGTTATGAATAATGATAGAATGCAGCTCTGGGCCCACATTTCGTCTGGAGTTCTCACCAGTTGCCATAATCAGGTTGGTGACACCAACACAACCTTCTGGCGGTGTTTCATCTGGGAATAAGTCAGGCGATGCTGCTATCTGAAAAATAGTATTCAGACACTACAGACACATGTATTCAAACGCCCTAATTACCTTGCACATTTGTTTATTTCTGCATTTGGACCGAGCAAATGCTAAACTTGTTGGATAATGGCACTTTCCATTTATCCATTGGCCAGTGGCTATGAGCAGGGATCAAGGCGGACGGAAAGGCCATTAATAGATGAATCCTACTTACTACTGATTACAGGGGAACCAAATGAAGCGCGTGTCACATTGACTGAGCTACCAGGTGGACAGTTCATTACAATGCGGTTTCCCTGTGCTCAAGCGTTGGGTGAATGCACATTCGCACTTGTGTAGAGAAACGCACTGTCAAGGCAACTCGCGATCCTGGAAGATAATGCTTGTAATGCTCATTGTTGATGTAGCCGTAAAAGTAGACTGAGCGGATATCCTCTTCAGGTTGTGGGTACAGGGACTTGATCAGATTCATATGTGCAGGTACATGTTGAAGGAGGCAAACCACGGCAACGACGCTTGCAATGCTCCAGCCCTTCATTTCGAGAAAAGATTTACCATTGGTTCATGTCTTTCGAATAGATTCCCTCAAATTTTTGGCAAATGCTCTTTTTACGCCGCTCTCCCATATGCACATACACTTGAATCCGTTACCAGAGTACACCTTGTTTTCCCATGAGGGCTTTTCTATTAAAATAAATACATTTTGTTGGTTGTTCAATATATGCAACGTAAGTGCAAACCAGCAGTTGATGCATATTGTTGCTTTCCACGCGGGCACTATTATTGGTTTGCTCCTGTACAGTGGCGACAACGCTTTACAAGCAAGTGTAACTTCTATGCAGCCATAGACTTGAGCTTTTCCTTTTTCTGCCTGAATCAAACATGCCGAGATGTTACATATCCGCCTTGAGTATGCAAACCGGAGTGCCCATGTATAGTCTGCAGCATCCAAAGCGTGCAAGTACCTAACAGAACACTAGGAAAATCAAGATATGGTAATGCAGGTCATAGTAGGACTATGTTTTACTATTGAACTAACCAGATGCTTGATTTTTTGGGGGCTTGGAGTGTGCAGAAAAACGTCGACGTAGATGTAGAGAAGCAAACAAGAGCGGCGTAACAGGAAGGAAACATGAAGTACCCGCAGATACCCAAACTTTCAAAAGAAACTTCCTGGAAATCAGTTCTATTTTCATGTGAAGTAGCTGCACAAGGCTAATTCGTCTTCTTTGATCTCCAGCTTGTGATGTGCTTTAGCATTAGATTCTTGCCTTTGGCTGCTTGTGAATAGTTTCTGAAGTGATATATGCTTCATTGTGAAGCACATGCTGTCTACTGAAGACCTATGCCTTCTCCTAAGGTTTCTGGTTTATGTTGGGGAATCAAACCTCCTTTGTCCTCCAACTCTAGGGCGAACCACTCGTGAAAACGAGAAATCTTTCGTCCGCCTTTTTGTAGCTTCTCCGAAAAGATGGAGCTATAGGCCTTTGGGCTCGCAGTAGAGCGTTTCTCATTCAAAAGGGGAGAACGTTTCAGTAAATGTGTGAAACCGGAAGACATAGCTTCACTGCTGCGTCTCGCAGCTGACCGCAGAACTTTGTTCTATCTTTTAGAAAGCGATAGCGGACATTGCAGAATTTAGCGACAACTATGGGCAGGCCACTGGACCTAGAGCCTAGGATAATATAGTGTGAAGACAACTTGGAAATGACTGTTATGGAGGCCATTGATACCTGTATTTGTATGTGATGTCTAGCACATGCTGGCTGGCTCCAGAATTTTTGCAGACACTCATCCACGCCCTTCAGTACTCGTCATCCTTGGTCCACAAAATGCACCACGTCGTAAGCTTTAAAACAAAGCTGGGTATGCTCATTTCTGCGGACTCTAAACCGGCGAGTACGAGCCCGCAGAGGCTCTCCCCAACGTATTCGCTTCACTTTTCATTCCGTATAGCGCTACTACGAAGATTGATAGGATATCAGCCCTCCCCTTAGCACCATGTACGAGCTTGACGTATAGTTAGTACGTGTCCTCCAGCGTTCATCGTTATCTTTGCTTTCACCCCTAGGAGCAGTCAGCTAAGGACCGCGATGGCACGTAGAGTGCAAGTTGCCGTACGGAGCACACTTCGTTTTGCAGCAAAATTCTTACACAAATTGCAAAGGCTGGCAGTAAATGCTCAAGATAAATTCCTAAATTTCCGTAGTGGAGATTTGGTTAATGTAGTGCAGAATGGGCGACTACACGATGAGCAGTCTGTGCTTTTTCAGCTGGTCGTGACAGCCTGAGTAGTCTCTTAATGGCGTACAGCCCTAGCTACCAAGACTTACTGCAACCAAGTATACTGAGCCATAGAGGAGAGTTTACAAAGAAGAGTGTAACCGCTCGTTTCATTGTGCCGTACGGGGCATATGGGAGGCCACATATTCTAGCCTAGTAAAAATATACATTTTCATTCAATATAAAGATACTAGAGGCTCTTATTCCTCAAGAAACATATCATATCTGGCAGAAAAGACAGGGAAATAGTCAATTTCCAGCTCTGAAAGGTGATGGTGTGGTGAAAGCATGGCCACGAGGAGTAGTAACGGCGCACAATCCATTATGCGAAATAGACGTGGAAGGCGGCAAAATTGAGGGGAGACTGCGTCTCCTTATAGCCCGTAGAAAAATGACTAAAGTTGAGCTACCAGGGCCCCGTTTTATGGCTGTACAGCTAGGTGCCTTTACACAGTTACAGGGTGGAGTGCAAGAGCTGGCACCCAGCAGCGCAGCGCAGCCGCCAGGGAGGCAGCTAGGCAGTGCGGGGGAGAGGCTGGCGCTGCTGTCGCATTCTTGAGGCTTTCGCGAGGTCTGTAGATGAGCACTTCGTAATATTTTGGAATAGGGAAGGCTTTTTCTCCCTAGAGTGCCTAGAACGTTGTGCTGCTTTCTGCTGTCAATGGTAGCTTGTGCCGCGTGAACACGACTCCACGCTGCAGCTGCTGTGGCCAGTAGACATTCCTGGTTCATTTTGCATTCCCAAGACACCCTGCCTACTAAAAAGTATAGCTTTTTGCTCCCTCATTTGAACGGGGAGGTTCTTTTTCTAGACTCTCAGTACCACAATGGCTCTACGTCCTCCGCTTCCGGGGGAACCCCAAAACCCTTTTGGGTTTAGTATCTTCGCCGTTGCTTAGAAGCGGCGTGCACTCCAGCCTTTTTGCTGGATTCAGAAGCAGCGAGAGGAGCCGTCTGTCTCTGCATTGCCTCCGTTAGCAGTTGCGTTCTGACGCGCGAGCAGCAGCTTGAGCTGTCCGATTTGCCGAGTCCTTTCTTGGATCCCAACAGAAAATGGCGGCCTGTGCCCTTACCGTCTCCGCGGGCTCCGAGGATTCGGACGCCAGCGACCACTAGAGGTGCAGCGTCTCTCCGCAGAGAGGCGCAGGTGCAAAAGTGTATTGCGCCATTGGTACCACCTCGGGCGTTCTGTGAAGCGGCAGCTCGCGCGCTTAGAAACAGCACAAAAATTAGGCAGATAGCCCGTCTGATTTCCGGGCAGTGTGTGCGTGTGTGCGCACTTGGGGTCTCCCGGGGTGCGGCCAGTTCTGCCTTCAGAGAAGAATCCTTGCGAGATCGCGTGCGTTCCTGGCTCCTTTATTCTCTGGAGGCAGTACCAGGACTTCTTCCTTCCCCTCTCTACCTAGGCAACAGATTTTCAGAATCCGAAAACGGCAATATCCGTTACGGGGGGGAATTAGAATGACGCGACCTTTCAAGAAACCCGAGTTGCACCCCTGCGCGGGATCTGCGCTCGCGCACGGCGTGCAGCGACAGTACAGCTACAACCGCTCCAGCTCTAGGCCTTTAAGCGGGAAGGCTCACACTGCTGGCACGTATACGGCATCCATGGCCAGCATGCTAGGAAATCGTGGGCCTTTGTACAGCCCACCACAGACTAGAAGACACAACACAACAGAAAGAGGAAACAGTTGTTCGGGTAACAACTGCCCACCCGTCTCAACAAGCCACCTCATGGCAGTGCATCTAGGAGAGGTTTACCCTCCGAGCACCTGCAAAGATTCGCGTGGAATCTTGGATGGCTTCTTTGGAGCCATTGAAAGACATATTCTGCACTCGAATCCCAGTGTGAGTACACCACAAATACCCCTCTCCGCGTTTCTACTGCGCGAAGGCGCTCGGCATATTCAGTAGTGCGCTGTGTGGCGTTTCCGTGTAAAGGGGCTCGTGCTTTTGTGTGCATATTCATGCTCCATCCTGGAGGCTTCGTGTAGGTGTAGTAGTATGGGGAGGGGGGTGCAGGGAACCTTCGCCGCTGGGGTCAGCAGGTCGTTGTCTGTACAGCCTGTCGCGCGAGTTCTGCGTGGGTATGTGTGTGTGTGTGCATCGACGGGTGAAGTATACATATATATATACATATATATATATATATATATATTTATACGGCAAATCACGTAGAGCTAAGATATTGGGAAGGGCGGAGCTTACCTTCTGTCTATTGGCGCATCGTGTTAACCTTCTTAGGGCAACGTGAAGATACCCTCGAGCCTCCTTCACATTGGCGAGTGCCCAGATGTGCCGGAGCACTTGGCGACATTCGCTCTCCGTCGTTCAGGTTCCCTGCATTTCAGAGGGCGTCAAGACGAGGCAGCGGAGGAGCAAGAGGGAGAAACAGCGAAGCCTGTGAAGCACAAGGGGCATTTAGGACATGTAAACGACACGAACACGCGAAGGGGCTTATCCTATCCGCCGTTTTCATGAGATTCCGTGTCAGGTTCTCTTGAATGCATTTCTTAGGGCGTTCGGGGGCACATGCGTGCTGCGGAACATGCTTTTTTGCTTCCTGCCTGCTGCAGCACTCGAAGAGCGAACCGAGGCTCTCCCCCCCAACAAACCAGCACCCTTGTGATCTGGACTCCCTTGCTGGCACTTCGGCGGGCTCCAGTGTATGTGTGACTTTTCCTTTTTCATCCTTGACCCTCCAGCTTCCCTTGCGAACTTGAGCGGATGCGCGGGCAGGTCGGGGTAGTGTGCATTCTCGGGTTCAAAAGCAATGCCTGCCTGTACCATCTGCTGCAGGGCAGCAATCTTTCGGTTGCTGGGGGTGAGACACCGCGTTCGGGAGGCCTTCGGCGAACTTTTTCATGGCATCGCATCAGAGACAAGCTGAAGAGATGATGAAATGGTTTGTATGCGGCGGTGTATTCTTGCGCACCAGGGGTGGCAGAATCTACCACCTAGGTGGACATACACACAGCTTTACGCCTCAGATGGCTTATAGTCCCATGGGTTAACTTGCTCGCGTTCATTCTTCCCACCTTTTTTAGTGGGTGTTCTTTTTGCTGCGGTCTGTGCGTCTTCTGCAATTCCAGTGCAATGCGTCCTTGTATGTACGAATGCATGCTTGGTTTCCAAGCATTTAGGGGTCCGCGCATCCAGGATTCCCTTTGCTGGCCGATGTTGATTGATACGTCTACTTGGGCAGACGCAGCCGTCATTAGTGTGCGCCTTGTGTGTACCGCGTCGTTGGAGGTCCTGAGTGTGTGCTCCTGCTTCATATGCTTGCCGCCTTCCGTATCTCACACTGCAATAGGGGAAGCACGCGATTAAAAAAATCGAGTTGCTTTAAACAACCTTTTGCAGCCATTGGCTCATTAGTCGCAGTGTCTCCCTTCTTGTAGGGGCGGCGCTGGCTTGTTGCGCGCGGCAGACGAAGGGCATTGTGGAGTGTGCGAACGCCGCAGTCATGGGGGTTCGCGGCTCCACAGGCATCCGAAGAGGGTCTTCTTAACGGTTTGTTTGGGATATCCGACCTCCAACTTGAGTGTGAATGGGCCAAATGATATTTCCCTAGTTCACGATCATGACTGCATGCGCTTGTTGGGTTGCGCATGCACAAGGGTGAATATAGAAAGTATGAGAGGGGCTCTTACGGCGATAGATAGGACAGTTTGAAAGCCAAGGTATGTCATGTTTAGGTCCTCCCGAATACTTCTAAAATAGAGGCTAGGTAGTCATTCAGGTTCCCTACTGAAATTCGCAAGATGCGAGAAGTTTCCTTTGACTGGGGGCATGTGTGCCTATATCATACTTTATAGCATTTGTATTGGCGGAGACCCCTGGTGCAAATTTCCCCCCCAAAGTGTAGTCAGGGCTGGGAGGTTGGCTAGGGGCGCACGCCCGCCGCGCAGCGGATGAAGCAACACGTAGGCGCTTGCTGGTACAATAGTTATACTGAAGAATAAGTAGAGAATTGGATAGCTACTTTTTGTATCAGTACGACACTACTCTGCAACAGCTAAGATATACGTACACGGAGAGATATTTTGTGCAGTTGCGTCAGAGGCTATGTGCAACTAGCTGTTGTGGGCACTCGGAGTGGATGAAGCGCGCAGCAGTATTAAGCCTAGCTGCCCCTCCTTCCTCATTTGGGTCTAAGGGTCGCTGTCAGGGAGGCGGACCTCTTTTGGGAAACACTCGGTGACTTTCTGTCAGTTAGTTATCCTCTGAGGGCGGTGTTGAATGTCTCCCTTTTCAAATTCTGGATGAAGCGTTGCATGCTGCTTGTCTCGCGGTTCGAATTGAGGTCCTTTGCCTGGCGGCTCGTCTGGGCTTCTGTGTTGACAGAGCGATAGTAAGGAACTCACAGGTCACAAGGGCTCGTATTGGGGTGGCTTGAAAATAGCGGCACTCCAGGGGGCAGTCCAGTGCGTATCACCATTTTTGCTTGCGGCTGCCGTTCTTAGGCGGACCCCAGGTGGGAGGGCGCACTTTTCGGCGTGGTACTCAATGCCAGACAGGCATGTTACGAATTCAGGCTGGCTCGGACTAGCGGGCAGCAAGCGAGTAGGCTTTAGATTGGTCCTGGAGGGCGGCCGAGGCAGTAGCCAAGAAACCTCGCAAGGCGAGAACGGAGCTGTTCGGCTCGCGGAGGAAAATGAATTGTGCACCGACTCACACGATGTCGCAAGCCAGAGGGCTCATTTCTCTGAACGCAATCGGTCCTCAACGGAACTAATTGACGGGCTATCATGAACATGCTATACAGCCACCAGTAGACTGTCAGCTCCTACTTCTGCTGAAACGTTGGGCCTTACGTGTGAGGTTAGACTCCGCTGAATGGAGCTGCTTCGTTCATTATACACAGCATTCTAGAGGCTGAGTCTCGACATACGGATCCAAAGCGCAGTCTGCACAAAAAAAGTCAGTATCAAAGTGCAACGTGCGATTCGACAAGTGTATTGCTCCTCCCTTCGCACTTTATTCGATGGCGCACGGCAGCTGCATGGGTGCTGACACTCTGGGGACATATGTTAAAGACCAATCGTAGGCTGCAGATGCACACTGTATGGAACGGTGTTTATTCTGGATGCTCCAATACCAGGAGCGGTACGCCCGCGAAGTCGCTTATTGGGGAACGACCCGTAAATCGGCAATTTGTATTGCTAGTTTGTGGAAGATACAACTACGAGCGAAAGTTCAAGGAAACCTCATAGACAGTTCAATTTTTGTGGTGCGAGCTGAATTGCCGTACAATAGTGCCTCATGATGGGAGTGAAACATGCATCTCCTTCCACTCTTTTAAAGTCTTTCGTTTGCTATAATTATATCGAGTTCTTTTAGAACTGTACATAATCTTGTACTGGAGCGCCTTTCCTGCGCCAGCATTGGCACAGCTATGCTGATAAACGGCATTTGTGTGACTCTTATAGGCAGCCCGTCACAGTCCTTACATGGTTCGCAGATTTACAGCATATTAGTGCTAGCGAAGCTATAATAGCCTGAACTAGGGTGGAACGAGCCGTATAATAGGATTTAATTGTTCTCCTGGCCTGTGTACCGTGATTACTTTACCCTAAACACGCCGCTTCCTATCTGCAAGTATCAGATGTGCCCGCTCCAGCTAGCTGATTTGCTGTGACTCGGCGAGATTTTGGGTTGCTGACTAATAGCACGCTGCATGTAATCTTGGAACATTCACAGCCCTTTCAAACTCAAAAAACACATGCACGTTTACACGATATCTGAGTGCCCAACGAGGAAGTAGTGCGTGCGCGGTAGCCAAGCAGACGGCTAATACACGCGCCTGAGCATGCAAATTGCGTTCAGCGAGGAGAGGGTAAAGTAATCTACCAATACAGGTGAACAAAGTCCTAAGCAGGGCCATCTCAGGTTGCTTCGGCGTATGCGGTTAGTAAGAGGAGTTAGAGCGCTGAGGATATCCCGTGCAACACTGTGACTGTTTACCAGGTCTCTGAGCTTGCGGCTTCTGAATACATTTTGTTCACTCTTGGCCACAATTGGCTGCAACACACTGCATCCTGCAGTAGTGCACGTGGGCGCCGTAGGGCGCCAATGCATAAATGCAGCAGCATTCCTTCGGTTCGATGTAGTTATTATGGAATAACGTCCGCTCGACAGAAACGATTTTGCGATCGCAATTCTCAGGTCAAAAACCTGCTGCATCTCCTGTTCATGGCGTACCTGCGTGAACAGCCCCTACCGTTTCATCTCTATTCTGTGAAAGCTTGCCTATCTATGGCTACGCTTCTCATGGCGAGCTCGTGGCGTGTAGAGCTGTATTCTGGCCAGCAAAGCTGGTTCACCTGACCTCCCGCTATACTGCGTGAAAGCAGCCGCTTGGCGGAGATTTCCAAGAGAGGCTTTTCCAGGCGCCTCAGTAGGGTCCTCTTCGAAGTATTCCGTAGGTGTAGGCACTCCCTACACGGGCTTACAGTGCAACGTCGCGAGACGCTGAACATGCAAAGCCCAAAGGTGCTGCATCAGCATTTAAGTGCCACACATGCTACTTTTTCTCTGCATAATACACTAAACTTCATGGACATCCGCATGCCTGGCGGGAATAATATTTCCCCGAGGGGTCACTGGCTACGTGTGGTGGGGCGAAAATTTTGTGGAAAATCGAATAATTGGTTTAAGTGTTTGCATACTTTTGCTATTGCAGAAGACTGTTTGATATTTACAAGAAGATGCAATTTTGTGTGCCTGTGTGCCAGATGCTATGTGCAACTGGCTGTGAACGCTGGGAGTGATTAGAGGGTGCAGCAACGCAAATCCTAGCACTACCACTCCCCTCATGCTGGAAGTAGTGAGAGTCACGGGCAAGGAAAGGAAGCAACGTTTTTAAGATACAGTCGCTTGCTTTCTAACAAGTTTGCCATGATTCTTGTGTTAGATCTCTCCCTGCGAAGACCATAGTGTACGGCCGTGCTGTGACAACCCATTACACTTTTAGGCCTTCTCTGGCATGTCATAGTTGCGTAAAAGTCAGGGTAACTGTTCAGAGCTATACAATCTGTATCGCCATCAAACACTGCCTAAATTTATGCAGTGTCCCAAGCTGTGAGCTTCAAAAAGGTGCCGAAGTATAGATGCAGAGTCGGATGCACTGCCGGAGCTCAGTACAGATGCTATCTTGGCAATGCATACCACGACACTCATAGCACAATGAATAGAATGAAAATCGCAATTAGAATGGATTTCCATGGCAGTGCAATGTTCTGTACGTGAGATTTGTACAACCACGCTGCCACCACGGCACCTTTGCAGGTGCTTCCTGTTCCCTACTACGTTCTGGAGAGTGTTCCTTGCCAGGGGTTTCTCCTTCGCCTTAAGAGCAATACGAGTCGCGTTTGCTACCATAAAATGTGCAGGCCATCACTTTTGCACAAGAACAAGCTCACAACACCCTCCTACTACTAATCGTGCTCGCATCCTTAATCGGACGTCGTGGCAATTGGGAACTGCTGCAGCGTCTTCTGCTGTTGTTGCTGCGCCATCGTATCAAACAAGTGCCGAAGTCTGGGCTAAACCATTCACTTTCACCGGGATTCTTGTGCGACTCCGCACGAGTAACGGCCCCAATGCCGGCTGCAACACAGTGGGAACGATGTGACCTCCAGTTTACTGCTGCTGATTTCCGTGCGGCGCGAGCAGCAGCAGCAGCTGCAGCAGTCGCAGCCCACGGCACTGCAGGGTTATCGAATCATCAAAATAGTGGCTTACGTAGTCTTTTTTTGCTAATCTATACTGCCTTGTCTCCTCAGCAGCACAGCAGCCGCAGTAGCTGCTGCTGCTGCCTCGGCTCTGTTGTATTGCTCCTGGTTTGCATTGCTGCCGCTGCGCGTGGCTGCGTGGTCGCTGTCGCTGCTATCTTGCATCTCGTCGCATCAGAAGCCGCTTCAAAACTTGAATCTTGCTTGGCTTTGGCATTCACGAGGTGTATATACACTGCAGGATTTGCACCGATTGCTTTAATCGACGGGTGACCCCAGGGTCGTCGCTGCTCCCAGGCGTTTGAGTCCTGACCGTCCGTAGCCTCACACAACTCTTGCAGCTCGTGCCTGAGTGTTTTTCTTTACGTCACTTGATTTTCCTAAGCAGCAGCGGCATAGGTTGTTGCTACAACGGCAAGACTGCCGGCCGGCTGTCTGTCCAGAGCATCGCTGCGAAACATTCCCTTTCTCTGCAGTGTCTGAAACAGCCACTTCTGCTGCCGAAAGACATTGAAAATTCAGACCGAAAGCCGTCCTTTCTTTGCAGGGAGCATCCCTGGGCTGCATTCCGTTGCATGTGCCGCCGTGCCTCCTCCGTTTATCCCGAGCACTTGAGGCGAGCACATAGCCCCCTGGTGTGTTGGCACTCGCGACCTCCTTGCCGTGGCGGCATCTGGAATAAAACAAACGTCAGACGGCTGCAGCAGCCGCTGCACGCCTCGGAATGCAGCGGCGGAGGCTCCAACCTGACACGGAGGGCCGTACAGCTTCCCCTGCAGCAGTCGCTACACAAGGAGCGGCAGCAGAAAGAGCAGCAAGGGCTTCAGGTAGGGCCGAGCGACAAGCGCTGCTGCGCAGGGGTGCAGCGGCAGCAGCTTTCGTGAAAAGCGACTCGAAAAAAACGCATGCCTCGCAAAAAGTGCGCAGGATCCCATCATGTCCAGTTGACAAGCTCCCCGAGCACCTGCTAGCCCGCATATTCGCTCTTTCGGTTGGAGAGAGTACAGCTGAAGCCGAAGGCATTGATTCAGTCTGCACACGGTGGCGCCAAGTGCTCAATAGTCGCTCGTACCGCATTCTGCTGCCGCTTCGTTTGTCTCGTGTGGCTCGGGAGCACCATGGGCAGCAGCTCCTACGGCATCGTGTAGGCGCATGCAGCAATGGCGATTCGGAGCTCGCTGCAGCAGCGTTGCAGACAGCGCCACTGGGAGCTACTCGGGAGGCAGCTGCAGCGTCAGCTCCCTCATCTGGGGATGGTGTGGCACCGGCGTCAGCTGTAGCCGCAGCCTCGCATGCTGCTGCAGAGGAACCAGCACCAGGGCCCCTTTCGCCCGTGGAGACGGCAGAATTTGCAGCCGCCACAGCTGCGCATGCAGCAGCGGCTGCGCCAGCTGCTGCAACAGCCGCGGGTGCGTCTTCGGCAGCAGTTCGTCACACGCGGCTGCAATCCGAAGAGACTGAGCTGTACGCCCAGGGTGTAGAGGGAGGCCTTCTCTTAGACAGTCCTGTGTTTGGAGTAGGCCGTGCTGCATGCAATGCCTCCTGTGCGTGGCTCCTTGGGGCTTTACCCTATACGTCGCGGCTTGTGATGCATTTGCAAAGGGGCGATATCGACGAGGGCGTCTTGGAGGCACTAGGATGCCTGCTCACTCGCAGTGCCCCCTATCTGACGCATCTCACACTGGAGGACAGACGCGCTGCTGCACGCCTCCTTGATCCGCCGCGAAGTGCAGTTACAGCTCGCGCAACAAGACACGCCAAGCAGCTGCCTCTGCATGGCGAGGGCTCTCCAGGAGCACTCCGAACAGCAGCACTGTCTCCGGAGGCTTCTGCGACGGCGCAGCGAGAAGAAGGATCGCAGTGCCTTAAAATCGAAGCTATACCCCCCCCCCTTACCGCAGGAGAGGAGCAGCGTATTTTGACGTGGCTCGCGAGTAGGCCCTCATCCTCGCGCCTCGCGGGAAGGACTGCCGCATCAGAAGATTTTGCTGCTGCTTCTGCCTCGGCAGAAGCAGCGAGCCCACATCCAGCAGCGATGCCTGCGAGTCCTCTCCCTGCGTCAGGAGTGGCAGCTTCGGCAACCAGTTTGCCGCACCGAGTCGAATTCTCGCAGCTGAAGTACATACGCGCTACGCACGCCAACTTTCTGAGGAGTCTGCATGCACCGGCCCTCTTGGAGTTGCGCCTCGATTTGCGGCTTCAATGGGAGTCAACGGCCGCCCACCCAAACAGCAGCACGAGCACGAGCACGAGCAGCAGCAGTCATAGGGGCTGGCCGGCTGTCTGTACGCCCTATCGCGACCTCATGTTTTTTCTTGCTGCCTCTGCGCCGCCGCTGCGAATCCTCCGCTATCGCGTTGCCGCTTCGACGTGGATGGAGAGGGCGGGGCTGCATGCAGCGAACTCTGCTGCCCGGCTTCAAAATCAGGCGCAACACCTCAGTTGGCCGCCCCCCCCCCCCGGGGGCCCCCCAGTCGAGGGGGCCCCAGTACCCCCGCCCCGCCGCAGCGACTGCTGCTGGGGGCCGAGGGGTTGACACGGGGCCGGCTCCCCGCGTCAGGCTGTCCTCTCTGCGGTGTATGGACAGCAGCAGTCCGCTGCTGCTGTTGAGCGTGTGTGCTCCGCAGCTGCAGCGCCTCCTGCTGCGGGCTCAGCGCAGCAAGATTTTGTGGCTCGCAGTGGCTGCCTTCTTCGCGGAGAGCAAGGCACAGGCCCTCGAAGTGCTGGAGATCCACGCAACACACGCTCCCCGGAATCTCGTGCACTTCGCGAGGACGACTTTGAGCCACATGCATGAGGAGCAGCTGCCAACGCAGCACGCGAGGACGCTGTTCGCCACGCCCAAGACGCCGCTAGGCGCTGCAGAAAACGAAACGCTCACTCCTCCCGAAGACGCACTCGCCAACACAGCCGCGGATCGTGCCGGCAGGCACCGACTCCTGAACCCAGAGCCCGCTGTACAGACACCTCACAGGACGGCAGACCCCGCGGCGGCGTCGCCAGCAGGTGCTGCGAGAGCGCCCTCTCACGGCGGGCAGCGGCGTGAGCGGCATCACCGTAATAATCGCCGTCGACGACAGAAGAGGCAGCAGCAGCAGCCGCTAGAACACTTCTTCTGGGGGCCGAATGGACTGGGGCTGCCCTCTCTCGTTCAGCTCACGTGTCATAGCAGCCTGCTGGAGACTCTCATGTGTGCAATGGCGCGTTTGCCCAAGCTGCTGCACCTGCACACGTGGGGATGTCGTCTTCGCATCATGAGATTCCTCAAATTTTGTCCTACTTTGAAGACACTGCATGTCAGCCGTATCGGCTGCTCCTGCCGCACGTGCTTCCTGCTTCGCATGCGGAGAGCTACAAGCACCAGCATGCACGGCAGCGGCGCTAACGCGGCAATAGGATGGAGACACCATCCGATGCCCTTTCCCCCCCCCGTTTTACTTGAGCGCACCGTCTCCGAAATCGAAGAATATGGGGGGTCCTCTCTCTTTTTGCATACAGCCCTCGTGCTTCCCAAGCTCAAGACGCTCGTGGTAAGACTATCAGAAGGCGCGCATGCACCTAGGATGCATGCTCCGCTGGCCTCTAAACTGCGTCTTTTTAGCGAGCCTTCACTGCCTCATGTGGCAGTGGAGGCGCAGAAGGCGTTAAAGGGGGAGCCCACGTTCCTTCTCTCCCCGTATTTCTCCTCTCTTCTCCTTTCTCCCTGCCCCCCTAAGCCGTTGCAACAACAGAGCAACATCCACCGTCGCCATCCTTCTTAGGCCTTCCATCCAAAAAAACACTGTCTTCTTGCTGCTCATATTCAGCATTTCAATACCCTTGCCTCTATTTCTTTCTGTCTCTTTCTTTCTTTATCTCTCGCTCTCTCTCTTTATGTATTTTTTGTACTCTCTCTCTCTGTCTTTATGTCTGTCTGCTTCCGATTTCGTGTGCTTCTCTCTCGGCCTGCACTTTTTTGTCCTTTGGTGTCTCTATTAGGGGTGTAGTTGAGAGCCGCACGCCGTTCTGCAAAATTACCTGCAATAACTCTCATTCCTTTTGGTGTCTGTCTTCACGCTAAGTGGACTCCGGCGTTGTTTGCACATGACCGCTACCATGAAAACGCTTCCCACGAATCGATTTCGACGAAATCAATGCTTCCCTGTATCCATGCGCTTTGGAGCGAGCGTTCGTGCCGTTTCTCGCCTTCCCCGTGCAACTTGGAATGACATTTTTGTCAGCGTTGAAGTCTCGCTTGCATCCAAAGGGCACCCCTCCCAGTCGTTGTGGCTGCATTTATATCGTGCAGAGGGAGGGGGTCGTTGGGCAATGGATTTGCAGTCCCCTGTAGAGGAATGTCGCAAAACGCGACGAGGATGCCCACTTCATGTGTCTCTGTCTGTGTGAGAAGGTGTACATTTGTGCACATGTGCAAAATGTGCTAAGTGCTTCTCTCTTTTTCTAGAAGGCAAGTGTTTTTTTCTCGTGTGGCTGCTGCAGCTGCGTCCTGAAGCCGGAGACGGACCGCGCGTATGGGCTCTCCTCTTGGAGGGAATTTTTCCGCAGCTGCAGCAGCTCATTTTTGAAGGTCGCCTCTTTCACACCTTTAGGGAGGAACGCTTGTTACGACAAGGAAGCGCTGTTACGACGGATGGCGCAGTCGGGGGAGCAGCAGGCTCCGGTGCTTCGCTCTACAGTCAGATTCCGGGCAGTGGCGGGTGGCGCCATAAAGCCTTTTTCGCCTTGCAACACCATCATCAGCGGCACTTCTTCGACTTACTGAGAGGCGGTATGCAGCAGCAGCAGCAGCAGCAGCAGCAGCAGCAAGAATCGGTGCAGCCCCAGTGGTCAACGCCGTGTTGGCACCCACACACAGCTCTCTGCTCTGCACTGTCCGATGCATGCGCCTCGGGGAAGCCCTCCTGCTGCGCAGCGTCGAGTCGGGGAGGAAGAGCTGCAGCAGCAGCAGCTGCTGAGCCGACTTCTTACGGTGCAGCCTCCAAAGCAGCCGCAGCCGCGGAGACTGAGGCCCCTCCTCCCCGAGGCTTCCCTCCTAGTCCGTTCAGGAAGCTCGAGCTGGTTGCTGGACAGTCACTGCACTGTGCAGATCTCCTCGCGTATGCAGAAATCGTGCTGATGAAAATGGGAGTCAATGGCTTGCCCTCCAGCAATGCCAGCGGCAGCAACAGCAGCAACAGCAATGCCAGCAACAGCAATGCCAGCAACAGCAATGCCAGCAACAGCAGCAGCAATGCCAGCGGCAACAACAGCACCAGCAACAGCAACAGCGGCAACAACAGCACCAGCAACAGCAACGGCAGCAACAGCAATAGCAGCAGCAGCAGCAGCAGCAACAACAACAACAACCTGAAAGGGGGCCCCGGGGGGGGGCCCCTGAAGTGGGCATTTCCCAAACTGCACACGGTAGTGGCACCGTGTCTGAGTGCTGACGGAGAAGAGGCTCTCGCCGTCTTCCGCCTGCTGAGAATACACGTTCTTGGAACGCATCTAGGCTATGTCTGCTCGCAGTCAACAATGCAACAAGTCACTAGGGTCCTCCCTCTGCTGGCCACTGTTGGTCCCTTTGTGCTGCCGCGCGAAAATCACCTTCAGCAACAGAAACGCAAACAGCACCAGCACCAGCAGCAGCAGCAGCAGCAACAACAACAACAACAACAACAACAATGGAAGACGTCCAAACAACTGAGATCTGCGCTGAAGCAGCCTCGCGCTTCGGTTCCTGTGTCTGCCCACTTGATGTCATCCTCTGTAACATCTTCAGAGAGGGTGCCTGCACTTGGCGCAAAGTGGCAGTCTCTTGTCCTTACCTTCTTCAGGTGGTATCCGCCGCAAAGGCGCATCTGGAAACAGCGCCCTCTCAGTAAGAAAAAGCACAAATTGCGACTGGAGGAGAAGGTACAGCAGCAGCAGCAAGAGGAGGTGGTTGTACAGCAGCAGCAGCAAGAGGAGGTGGTTGTACAGCAGCAGCAGCAAGAGGAGGTGGTTGTACAGCAGCAGCAACAAGAGGAGGTGGTTGTACAGCAGCAGCAGCAAGAGGAGGTGGTTGTACAGCAGCAGCAGCAACAAGAGGAGGTGGTTGTACAGCAGCAGCAACAAGAGGAGGTGGTTGTACAGCAGCAGCAGCAAGAGGAGGTGGTTGTACAGCAGCAGCAGCAGCAAGAGGAGGTGGTTGTACAGCAGCAGCAGCCTCCAAGTGTTCACCAGCGCATGTGCAGACCTCAAGGCGCTCGCGGACGAAGGCGACAGCTCAGGAGGCTTCCCCACTTCACGGGAAGGAGGCATCTAGCGCAGTCAACTGAGCCGCATGGTGCAGCCGCTGCTGTCGCTACAGCTGCAGCAACGGCTGCAGCAACAGCCGCCACGCAGATGGCCACCACTGTATCCATGGCGTCTGCAGAAATAGTAAGAGGCCACGTGGCGACGGCAGTAGAACGAGTTTCTTCTCCAAACGCGCTGGAATCAAGAAGAAGTCACCAGTAGATCTCCGATGTGTCTGCAGTGTATGTCATGAGGCCTACTGGAAGATCGGGCTTCAAGACAGAAGCATCAGCATTAGCATCAACATCATCATCTCTGTCTCTTTTTGCTGCCGCTGCTTTTAGCACGGCTACTACGCGTGTCGTGCCTTGGAGGGCGTTTGGGTGCTGGCGTGTGAAGCGGCGCGTCTGTTCCGAGCTCCGCTTCTTGGGGGGATTTTGCAAAGTATCTTTTTGTTGATGCTTGGCGATATGCGGCATATTAGTGTCAGTGGTTGCACGTCTTGTGCGTCTCAGCGTTCTCTATTTTATAATCCTCCGTGCACCTGCTTTTGTATGTCAGATCACTTTAATTGGTATATATATCTATACATATATATATATTGCATCACATACAAGGGAAGCAGTTAGAGCGAGCCTGTCAGCTCCAGCATTTTGCACTTGTATACGCATTTGACACCTGTTTCCTTTGGAGGCGGCGGTGGGAACATTCGGCTACGATCGTATGCTTCGCGCGCAGTTTTTCTCTCCCCACGTGCACCATCGCATCTCCTAGCTTTTCTCCGTTGGCGGCAGAAGCAGCGTGTGCATTGATGGTGGAGTTTTACGCTGCTCCGGCAGGAACGGCTCATGATAGCCCTCCTGCGAGGCTACACACGGGGGTTCGCACCTGCTTGCTGCTGCGAAATAATTTAGCTGCAGGGAAGGAAGAGCTCGCGAAGGGGGGGAAAGGGGGGGAGAGAAGGCGGATTTTTCCCCGTTTAGTCCCGCCGCTGCCAGGGGCCTCTACTGATGATGCAGGGTAAAGGTCTTATAAATTAGAAAAAGTTTGTTGAGAGGGAATTCTGATGGATCCATGCATCGCGCGTAGTCGGTAGAAGGGATTGTATAACTTCTGGCGTGCTGCTAAAGTGTTCGCCGCCCTCATACGCCAATCCTTAAACCGCCCCGTGCTGTTTTCAAGAAATCACACGCGCGAAGGAGCATGCTGCAAAAGAGAGACAGAGAGCGACACAGACACACAGACACACACACAGACACAGACACACAGACACACAGACACACAGACACACAGACACACACACACACACACACAGAGAGAGAGAGAGAGTACTTGTTGCACTGCGCTGCAGTAGCAGTCACTCAGAATTCCATGTATTCCTAGGCGCAAATGCCGTTACCATCTGCTAATTATCCCCAAACGGCGAGGCGGCAGCTGGGGAGCAGCAGAAAGGCTCCTTGAGTCCTCTGTATCACGAGAGCGGGCAGTCAGGAGGCGCAGTTCGTAGCGCAAAGACAGCATGAATCAGTTGCTGCAGAACGCCGGATAAGAACCGATGCACTTGCTAGGGGAAGTTCTCTCACTACCCGCAACCTTTGGATTAGAAATCCAACGCGCTTTCCAATTGCTGCACAAGGGCCTAGGGGTCTTCCGTTCTTGCCGCGCAGCAAAGCATGGCTGCCCCTTGACCTCCAAATCAGTGTATATACAGCACGTGGCGCTGCAGGCGCCTCCGGGAAGTCGAGCAGCAGTACACTGACTGGCACCTTTGGGGTTTTGCATGTTCAGCGTCTCGCGACGTTGCACTGTAAGCCGTGTAAGGAGTGCCTACACCTACAGAATGTTATTTCGACACGGACCCTACTGTGGCGCCTGCGAAAGCCTCTCGTGGAGTTTCCCTCCAAGCGGCTACTGTCACTCAGTGCAGCAAAAGGGCAGGTGAACGAGCTTTGCTGGCCAGGACACAACTCTACACGCCACGAGCTCGCCATGTGATGCGTAGCCATATATTAGCAAGCTTTCGTGGAATGGAGATAAAATCCCGGGTGCTGTTTACGCAAAAACTCGCCTCCCATAGGAGTGGTAGCTGTTGCGTGATGTGAAATATGCAATAGCCAGGCTCTTGCCGTCGATTTGATGATACTTTACCGCACAGGAAACCTGCAATGTCACTTGAAGGCTTCCGTAGGGGGACACATGACTCCAGACGTTATGCAAGTTAAAACAGATAGTTTCGAAAAGTGCTCTCCCCATTGGGATTTCTTCTTTCCTTTTTTGTGCCCCTAAAAACTTCGACTTGAGGGCCGGGTACCGAGGAGATTGATGTTGCAACATGCAAGCTCTTCGAAGAGAACAAGTTGCAAACATAGCGTTCAGCGCTCTGGACGCAAGACAGCGCATTTTTCTCGTATCCCGCCCGCAGTAATCTGCGATGGATAAAACGTACCAACCGTTTGAATAATGTGTACAGAACAAAGTTTTGTCGTAAAGCGACAGTTCAACTAATGTGTATAGGACAAAGTTTTGTAGTATAGCTCAACCCGCTACACTGCCACCGCATGGGATGCTGCGTTTCACGGGCGTTGAGGGCCGACAGCGCTGAGCGCACGACTCCAGGACGGAGACTGCTGTTGGAGGAAACTAAGCTGAGGATAGGGGGGAGCCGAACACAGCTGCAGCGAAACGCGGTAAAGCTTTGGAGCTGCTAATTGTATCATCGAGAGCGTCGCAATCAAGTCTCGCGCACTGTGGCCTAAGTACGCTCAGGAGGCATACTTGGACGGCCAGTTGGTCATGGACTCTTTGCAGATGCTTAAAAAAGATTCGGTGTCAGCTCTCTAGCTTTTTTAAGGCTGGTGAAGCGAAGCTGGTGATGATGCTGCCCTTCCGTCTGTGGATTGCATGGAATCTCGCTTTTTTACCAGATCAGATGTGAGGATCCCGCAATAAACCTCGAGAAAAGGATCCTAGCGCCTTACAGCTATAAGGCTTGTCTAAATATTGCATTGAGACAGAGCAACTGCGTGCTATGCAGAATGCCTGCTTGCTGCTCACGGAGGCATGGGCCTAGTGGCCCTTCCAGGTGCAAGCCTTACACACTGCCAGTACGTATACTGCAAAGGTTACAGGCGGCTAGCGCCCATGAAGCTGTTGTTGAAGAGGTGATTCTGGCTTTATTTTTCCATAGCCTGGCTACAAGATTCAAGTTGCAGCATCCTTGGAGGGCCGTACTCCTTAGCGTGCAATGCCCCTCCAGCACGCTGCCTCCAAGAAGGCCTAGCCAATCGTGTAAAAATACTTCACATGCGCACTAAGCAGCGACGACACTACTTGCGTGCTGCACAGCTATAGCGTGTGTAATATCCCAACATGCCTCTTGCGTAGACAGTTCCCACGGGTACGGGTGGATTAGGATGCAGCGGCTGCTGTGCTGGATTTTATTTAGAAAGTCACAAACGGCATTTTCGAATGCATTTGCAGTACCTAGAGCAGCACCGTCAGACGCAGAAGGTGGTGACGGCGCTTCTACTGGGAAGATAAGCTGCCTGCCAGATCCCCTACTGGTGTCTGTCTGTGTCTGTGTGTGTGTGTGTCTGTGTGTGTGTGTGTGTGTGTCTGTGTCTGTGTCTGTGCGCTGCGGTCCAACCCCCCCACACACGCACGCCCATAAGAGCGGCACTGCTTACCGGCAACGTAAGCGGAAAAAGCAAAAGAATCAGGCAGCGAAAGCCATGATGCTCCTTCGGTTAGACGGATTGACTCTATTGATGCAAATCGAAGCACCAGGAGGAGATGCGGCAGCGGCAGCACCCGACCCCACATATATTGCGGAGCACATTGCGCTTCCTTACACCACTTCGCCGCGGATAACTGCGCTAAAGTGGCGCACAAATCAGCGCTGAAAGCGGCCAAACTGACACTGAACTCCACAGTGTAGAGCCTTTGGTGATCACTGGTCTGCAGCGGCGAAGTCGCAGCCGACACAGGGGCGGCAGCCTCAGTGGCTGCAGCTGCGGGAGCTGCTGCAACAGTCACCGGTAGAACTCCCTTCCACCTGAGATAAGACATATCGCTAGATGCGTGAAGAAGCAACTTTTGGTGTCAAGGCGAAAACGCGTAATAGCACAGTCCAGCTGTCTGCACTGCTGCCCCTCGGGGGACCGTTCTTGCCAGCGACCGTCCGACATCGGAGAGCCAGCTCGCGCCGCCACGACCTCTTCCAACAACACTGCAGCTGCGTCGACAGCAAGCAGGGAAATCCCATAAAGATGCGAGTGGACTCATTGACTCGCCTCGGGGAGCTCTGAAAAAGCCGCAGTCTCAGCAGCAGCAGCAGCGGCGGTGGCGGTGTCGTGCTCCGGCTGCAAGCGGCGCTTCGCGCTGGCGGTGACTTGAGCCGCACTTTACTCCTTGCTGCTGCGTTCCCACATGTGAGACACACGCACAAACATAAGCAGCAGCTGCAAAAGGACCCGCGGCTGCAGTCTCGCTGCGTGCCTCTCCCGCTGCCCCCTTCGCCAAGCACCCCCAGGAAGTCTCTAGAGTTGAGAGACATGCAGCCACTCTTCTGCCGCAGCACACGACCCCCCTCCTCTCCACTGGCCTCAGAAGCAGCAGCAGCAGCATATTCCCCTCCTGAAGCGGCTGCTGCATTCCTACCTGCGGTGTCTTGCCCGTGTCGCAGGAGGGCAGCAGCAGCCGCAGAAACTGCAGCA